GGACAAATGATAATTGATATGACATCAAGCTTTATCTCTTCTGAAATAGTTTCCTCGAATTTATTAAGAATGTCATTGCAGAGTAAAGGATCATTAGAAAAATCAGCATCTATCAAGACTGCCCCAGGTTTTCGTTCATGACTAGGTTCATTTAACATATTTTCCTCAGATTTGCAAGGAATTTCGTCAGAAATAAGTGAATTATTAGGAAAAACCATATCTGGTACAATAACATAAGAAATCTGATAAGTTGATTGATTAGAAACTGTTGTCTCACAAGAATTCTGAGTTTCATTTAACTCTGAACTGTTATATGACTCTACGCTGTCTTTTGAAATCGTTGATAAAGATAAATGATCATTATAAATACTCGACTTAATAGAATCAGAATTACAAGACTTATTATTAGTTGCAGCAAGATGAACAGTAGTATTACAAACTGGCTGAATATGTCCAATATCACCACATTTAAAGCACTTAGAATTACGAAGTTTACATGAATTAAAAGAGTGGAACTTGCCGCAGGACAAACACTGACCAAACGTGTACCCGTCTTTGTGAACTGCATCACAACACCTCAATGAATTATCTGCATAACCTTGAGTATGCACTGGGTTGGGATGAAGAAATGCAGCGGAGTTTTTTATATCCTCATGAATTATTTTACGAAATCTTCCTCCCTTACGACATTCGGAATTTGTATACTGAACATAGTCTAGCAGTAGATCCTTGAGAATTGTATAAGAAAGCGAAATGGGCTTTTCCGGTAAAGCCAGAGTTTTTAATAAGCTAGATGCTTCTTCTTCGATGAATGTAAGGAAATGTGCTACAATATTAACATCCTCATTATCTTCCTTGGTCATAGCCCAAATTTCGAAACTTTCAAAGTAATTCTCAAAAGCATCAAAATCTAAATGTATGTCCAACAATTCCATCACAGGCTCCATCGCGACGCCAATTTGATAATTAGAAGTATTTGAATTATAGTATGAACTAAGAATCCCAGAAATAACGTAATCGGATCAAGAAGTACTAGATAACCACAAACGAATGCATTGTATTTAGAATTCGAAATCAAGCATTCAACAAGTACAAAGGAATCATTAATTCATTCAAACACCAAACTATACCAGTCCTTTTCATTTCGAGTAGACTCACCACCAACATTGGTAATCTACAAATGAGTGCGTGAGTTGTAGTTACATGAGAGACACAATACGCAGGATCATACTCTGTGTGTTTGTGGTTTTGTCTGATTAATTGACGAACAGTTCAGTGTTGATGATGGGTGCAAAACAGTCGACTAGCATTGGATCTGTGTTGAAGATGATGTGTGAGACGAAAGAATGAAAAAGAACACAGTCGCCTAATTGTCATACTCCGTGACACACAGTCGATCGATTGTATTGGGAATACACAAATTGGTGTGAATATACCTCTAAGATTACACAATGGAGTGAAACACTGGAGAGCAGTGATACCCCGTTTACTCCATCGAAATCGAGATGGTATTGACTGAGCACAGGACACGCACATTTTGGTTTCGTTAGTGGGATAGCTCAATAAACATTGTCAAATATCTTTGAAATATCAGTTCGATTAACTGTAGATGATGGATTTGGAGTCTACGGACTGGATCGATATTGATGTTCTGTTGTTCTGGTGATAATAGAGTGGGAATGGGTGAGATGTTGTGATGTTGAGAAGTGTAATTGTTGTTATAACCGGGTTACTCAATGTCAGCTGCCATGTGAACTGTTAGGTCAGGCAGTCGGTCAGTTTGGTGGTGGTTTTTTCTTTCACATGTCACACCATACTACTGATGAGTAGGACAAATCGGATGGTCATAATTTCAATTTGTTGTCATATCTTCTCACATTCTCACCATTGTTATTACTACTCTTATAATTATTTATATCAATCAATAATTGAACGCCTAATGCTGGAATCATGTGATGAACATGTGAGACATACTTAACAGTGTACACATACGATATGAACTTATATTTTGTGACGCATAATCTAAGCAAACCTATCGGTGGTTAACAATCATGAATATTTTGTGGAAATAGTATAAACCGAAAAGAATTGATATATCGAATTATTCTAATTTCAGACAATATCGAAGCAATTCACAATGAAAAAACGTTTAATACACTTACTTAAAATTCACTAGTCTATATTTCTAACATCGCTCAGTTTGAGATATTGTAATAAATATGAACCACTGGATCCTGAACCATTAGTCAAAACATTTTCCATTCTCTATGAATGCTAAAAGTTCTGAGTTCAATCTCTAGATAAATCATGACTCCACTCTATTAGAAACTTCAATTCTATGACTGTAACACTGTTCCATGTTCCATTGTTTCTAATTCTTTCTCAGATGATGTCAACTTGTGACTTAATTCATTGTCAAACTCCAACCATTTTCTTTAGAATTGTTAGTCGGACGACTTGTCTTGGTATTAATCTCATCCACTTAGTCTATCTGTTATATTATTGTTGGGTTTTTTATTCAGAATTAATGTTTACATGTTAGTTGTTGAAATTCACAATTATACTGGTGTAGTTTGTGTTTAAATTGAATATTAATTTATGCAAATTGTATACGATTACTGCTTAACAGGATTACTTCTTACATAACCATCTCATAGTTTGTATGCTAAGGAATTTATTTCATGTAAATTAATTTTATCCATTCGAGGAGAATACAGTTTCACAATATATAACTTAGTAAAATTAATAAAAGCGTAAAATAAGGAAAAGGATATATAACATCGATATCATGGTAGTTCATCGTTTATAATCTAAATTTTTATCTTCATTTGCTTAGTGAAACTTCAAAAGTAATCATTATACATTTGGTAGTGCGTGACTTAAAAACTAAACATTTTATGGTGTTAGGGTATTATTGCAATGGTTTGCTTGAACATTTGATTCCAGAATTAAGTGAACAGTTTGAGCCGGAATATCTTGAGGTCCAGTAATAATGATGTTTGTTTGTAGAAAAAAGTCTAAACATAAAAGGGTATTTTAAGTCCAAACAATAGATTATGATTAGCATTTCATACTGAGCTTGTTGTTGAACATCAGAAATTAATATCAGACAATCAAATAGATAATATAAACGTAAAAGCTCGTTCAATAACAGAAAGGTCCAATTTTCAGGCACATGGAAAAAACAATATACGAAAAATGAGAATAACTGAAGAACAATGAAGTAAATAGTTCATGTTTGTGATTAATTCCCCGACGATTCATCTGGAGTCATTCGTTAACCTCCTATTGATGTCGTCCTGAAACCTCCATCCAATTAATCTAAATGTCCCTAGAGAAATCGGATCAACAGCTAGTGGTTACATATGCTAGTGCCTTATTTAACCATAGCACCTCTTCTAATGGAATACTGATTGAATCCGCATTAAGCTTTGAAGTTAGTTAATGACTTCATATTAAGAACACATAATTCAACTTACTTAATCACTTCAAGTTCATAAACTCACTGACTGTTTAACCGTTTATGACCAAAGCTCTCCTCTTAACCTCTATTCCTCATAATCTGCACATGTCTATCACACTTCATATCCAGGTCATTCAATCCGCCTAGTGATATAGAAGGAACAACAGAGTAGCACGTTAACGAATATCCGTTCTTACCATTTATGAATAAATGTCTAACTAGTCTTCGTGTATCCGCCTGACGATTTGATAGGGAATAAACTCATTAAAGTGGACATACCATCCAAAGTAAATGATAAACCTACTCAATCACTTTTTGAAATATAGTCATGAACCATTATCTTAAATTCGGAAAGTACAAAACACATACTAGACACTTCCAATTTTTTTTTGCATAGTGTTTAAGTGATCCTGCTGATCATCAATTTATAAGTCTAACAGTGAGTCATTTAATTATTCTAGGTAGATCTGAGAATCTAAAACCAATCTGCGAGCTACAGAAAAGTTAAAGCTAACAATGCCGTAAAAAATTACGATCCCTTCTCGGTCGTTCAGTAGATCTGTGTTCACTCAGGAATTTGAAGGTCTTCAGTTTAAGTGTGTGTAATTCTGATCGCTCTTTGTTTAAAAATACCAGATCAAGATAAAAATGAATATCAAATAATCCAAGGTGTTTTAACTTTCATGTTATTCAGTAGATTTTGTTTTTGTTCATATAAATCAAATTTACAACAAAATCTTGTTATACATTTAGTGTTACCTCTTAACTCATTCATATATTCAACAATAGTAAATTTGAACAGTCATTTCATCATTAATTTATTTTAATTTAATCACACTTTTTTTACAGACAACATATGTAAATGATTTAACAAATAGCTTAATATTATTATCTATCTATCTAATCAATTTGTTAAATAGACGAAAGTTTTCTTAAAGTTATGTAAGACGAAATAAATATTAGCATTTTCCCTGCATAAAGAAGCGTGGTTGAGTTATATAATGTAGGTGAAATGTCACATATTTGAAAAAAAAAGTATAATACAAGTAATTAATAATGATACTGTTGCTTGTTGAATGACATTTCACAAAAAGAAGGATATTCATAGTCATGCGAAAGTACGTTAGTCAGTCAGCTACAGCGTAGGACCAAGAACATATATGCATCGGTCCAAGTTGCCATACCTCATTAACACAACAATATGGACACCGGATTCATAAAAGTAGTTAATTCAGAGGTGGTAATATATAAAAGAAAGATTGCATATAAGGAAATAGTACAGGAAGAAAGAATTAGTTCGTAGAAAGAAAGATATTAAGCAATTTTAATATCTTAGTTTAAGGGAGACAGAGAGTGTATACACTGACGCCATTGTGATCGGTTCTGAGCCATGTCACCCAGAGTCTCCAACTAAAAGTATAAACCTAATAGTTCACATTTTTTTCATTTAAGTAATATAAAAAATTTTCATATACCTTTAACTGTTATTGATAAGATGTTTAATTATCTGTAAAGTGTAAATTTAATGAAAGTGGATTCATTGACCAGTGGGATTTTTTTCATCATCGTGTGTAGTAGTAGTAGTATTAGTATTAGTAGTAGTAGTAGTAGTAGTATTAGTAGTAGTATTAGTATTAGTATTAGTAGTATTAGTAGTAGTAGTAGTAGCAGTAGTAGTAGTAGTAGTAGTAGTAGTAGTAGTAGTAGTAGTAGTAGTAGTAGTAGTAGTAGTAGTAGTAGTAGTAGTAGTAGTAGTAGTAGTAGTATGCTAATGTATGCATAATAACAACTTCATTACTTTTCTGAACTGCTCATCTAAATATTTATGTGAGCCTAAAAAATAAAGGATGTTAATCTTTTGTGTAATAGTTATATTAATATTGTATTTTTGGTTGTATGCAAATAATGGAAAGCAGTGAATAAGAATGTATTCGTTTTATGCTGAAAATCCTCTTGTTCTTGCGCTATTAAAGTTATCTGAATATATATTCACCACTTAACGCTTATAACTGGAAAGCCGAAAATGTAAGCTTATTCTAAATGATGAAAATTACTTACTTACTTACTTACTTACGCCTGTTACTCCCAATGGAGCATAGGCCGCTGACCAGCATTCTCCAACCCACTCTGTCCTGGGCCTTCTTTTCTAGTTCCATTCAATTCTTGTTCATTTTTCTCATGTCTATCTCCAGTTCTCGGCGTAATGTGTTCTTTGGTCTTCCTCTTTTCCTTTGACCTTCAGGATTCCATGTGAGGGCTTGTCTTGTGACGCAATTGGGTGCTTTCCTCAACGTATGTCCGCCTGGAGTCCCTCCGGGGGCTACTGCCGGTCCCAAGCCCGGATAAAGGAGGAGGGTTGGGCATGGGGTTAGCGTCCCCATCCCATAGAAAACTAACTCGCTAAAAAAACGCTAACCAGAAAAAATTATTCAAAAAAAATGATGAAAATTAGGATAATATTAACTGTATGTAACAATTTATCACTCCGATGGAGAAAATAACTCCGCCTGTAGCTCATCTAGAGTTACTGCGGTCAAAGCCCGGGTAAAGGAGGAGGGTTGGGCATGGGGTTAGCGTCCCCATCCCGTAGAAAACTAACTCGCTAAAAAAACGCTTACCAGAAAAAATAATTCAAACCATTTTAACTCTGCCCTGGGAGTTAGAAGGTCTTCATTTAGAAGAATTATGACGCTTCATGGTGAAAGCCGAGTTCCTTCGGAAGCCACGAGGCCGATGCCCCTTCTAACAACCAGAGCAAAAATTTTTATAGGTACATGGAACGTTCGAACAATGTGGGAAACCGGGAAGACCAGTCAAATAGCAATGGAAATGAGGAGATACAACTTAGCAGTACTGGGAATCAGCGAAACCCACTGGACCCAAGCTGGACAGAAAAGGCTAGCTACGGGAGAGATGCTGCTATACTCCGGTCACGAAGAGGAAAATGCTCCACACACTCAGGGAGTCGCTCTTATGCTGTCCAAAGTAGCACGAAATGCACTTGTAGGATGGGAATCTCACGGATCCAGAATCATCAAAGCATCATTCAAAACAAAGAAGGAGGGGATCTTAATGAATATTATCCAATGTTATGCACCCACCAATGATAGCAACGACGACATTAAAGATCAGTTCTACGAGCGGCTGCAGTCAATCATTGAGAAATGCCCAAGAAAGGACCTAACTATTCTGATGGGAGATCTAAATGCCAAAGTCGGAATAGACAACACCGGATATGAAGATATTATGGGACGACATGGACTGGGACAGAAAAACGAAAATGGAGAAAGATTTGCAAATCTATGTGCATTCAACAAATTGGTCATAGGAGGCACAATATTTCCACACAAGCGTATACACAAGGCTACATGGATCTCACCGGACCACACTACAGAGAACCAATAGATCATATTTGCATCAACAAAAAATTCCGAAGGACAATGGAAGATGTGAGAACCAGGAGAGGTGCTGACGTAGCTTCAGATCACCACCTAGTTGTAGCCAATTTAAAACTGAAGCTAAAAAAGAACTGGACAAGTGGACAAACAGCACTACAAAGGTTCAATACAGCCTTCCTTCGAGATACTGACAAACTCAATGAATTCAAGATAGCTCTCAACAACAGGTTCCAAGCCTTACAAGATCTACTGAAGAAGAAGAAACTACTATGGAGGACAACTGGAAAGGCATCAAGGAAGCATTAACTTCAACGTGTCAAGAGGTTCTGGGCCTAAAGAAACACCATCATAAGGAATGGATCTCTATAGAAACACTGGACAAGATCAAAGAAAGGAAGAACAAGAAGGCAGCAATTAACAACAGCCGAACACGAGCAGAGAAAGTCCAAGCACAAGCTGAATACATAGAAGCAAACAAACAAGTGAAGAAGAGCATTAGAGCCGACAAGAAGAAATACGTGGAAGAACTAGCAACGACGGCAGAAAAAGCTGCTAGAGAAGGAAATATGAAACAGCTTTACGATACAACGAAGAAACTAGCAGGGAAATACAGTAAACCAGAGAGGCCGGTCAAAGACAAAGAAGGCAAGCCAATCACCGAAATTCAACAACAGCGTAACAGATGGGTAGAATACTTCGAGGAACTCCTGAATAGGCCGGCTCCAATGAATCCACCGGACATCGAAGCAGCACACATAGATCTTCCTATAGATGTCAACCCACCAACGACGGAAGAAATTAGAATGGCCGTCAGACAAATCAAGAACGGGAAAGCAGCAGGACCCGACAACATACCAGCTGAAGCACTGAAATCAGACATCGAAGCAACCACAAGCATGCTTACCTTCTATTCAAAAAGATTTGGGAGGAGGAACAAGTGCCGATGGACTGGAAAGAAGGACACCTCGTCAAGATTCCAAAGAAAGGAGATCTGAGCAAATGTGAAAACTACAGAGGCATTACACTACTGTCAATACCAGGGAAAGTCTTCAACAGAGTGTTGCTGAACCGGATGAAGGATGCAGTAGACGCCCAACTTCGAGATCAACAAGCTGGATTCCGTAAGGATCGGTCGTGCACAGACCAAATTGCAACACTACGGATCATCGTCGAACAATCAGTTGAGTGGAACTCATCACTATACATCAACTTCATTGATTATGAAAAGGCATTCGACAGTGTAGATAGGAGGACATTATGGAAACTTCTTCGACACTACGGAGTTCCTGAGAAGATTGTCAATATTATCCGGAACTCATACGACGGACTACAGTGCAAAGTAGTGCATGGAGGACAGCTGACAGATGCATTCCAAGTAAGGACCGGAGTCAGACAAGGCTGTTTACTCTCTCCCTTCCTCTTTCTTCTGGTGGTCGACTGGATTATGAAGACCTCGACATCTGAAGGAAAACACGGAATACAATGGACTTCGCAGATGACCTAGCCCTCCTATCACGTACACACGAACAGATGCAGATGAAGACAGCCAGTGTAGCAGCAGTCTCTGCATCAGTAGGCCTCAGCATACACAAAGGGAAAACCAAGGTCCTCAAATTCAAAGCGGAGAACAGCAATCCAATCACTCTTGATGGCGAAACTCTGGAAGATGTAGAATCCTTCACATACCTGGGAAGCATCATCGATGAACAAGGAGGTTCAGATGCAGACGTAAAGGCGAGGATCGGCAAAGCAAGGGTCGCATTCCTACAATTGAAGAACATATGGAACTCAAAACAACTTTCAACCAATATCAAAGTGAGAATCTTCAATACGAACGTCAAGGCAGTTCTACTGTATGGAGCTGAAACTTGGAGAACTACAACAACCACCATCAAGAAGGTACAAGTATTTATAAATAGCTGTCTACGCAAGATACTCAACATCCATTGGCCGGATACCATCAGCAACAGCCTTCTGTGGGAGAGAACAAACCAGCTTCCAGCTGAAGAAGAAATTAGGAAAAGACGATGGAAATGGATAGGATACACATTACGCAAATCATCAAACTGCATCACGAGACAAGCCCTAACTTGGAATCCTGAAGGGAAGCGGAAAAGATGAAGGCCTAAGAACACATTACGTCGGATAATAGAAGCAGATATGAAAATGATGAATAGGAACTGGAAGGAGCTGGAAAGGATTACCCAGGACAGGGTTGGATGGAGAATCATGGTGAGCGGCTTATACTCCTTCATGACGAGTAACAGGCGTAAGTAAGTAAGTAAAGATGGAGGAAATGATCACACATATGTAAGATAAAATAAACATAAATAAGACTGGTACATCTATAACGTTTCATATCAAACAAGTAGCAATCATAACTACTTATTTGTAAACCAAAATGTTGACTTCTTTTACTATGAACCGACCACTAAACTAGACAGAAATTATTACAGATAAAAATGAATAGATACACGCTACACATACTGTAAGTTTTATTTTCTCATGGATTCAGATTTTTTCAGTAAAATATGACATGATTTGTGTAGTACAGGTGATCTATCGATTTTTAAGTAAGACATCAACACAAACTTTTGAAAGAGATCAATGCCGTGTACACATACTGATGATAGGAGTTCAAGAAAATGTTTGAACTGAAGAGTGATGAACAAATCAACCAGATTATTTGGCGCATAATGCACAAATCACACATCTATATATTGATAAAGTTTTCAGTTGGTTAAATTAGGTGAGTAAACATACTGTTACAAGACTCTAATTGTCAACTTGATAGAGACATACTTTGACACTTGCTTGACAGACATGGATCCATGTGAAGTGTTCTGAGGGATAAAATTCTCATGAACATGACCACAGTCAAACAATTAATCCTATAAACATCAAATACGAAACAATCAGTGGTTCATTATACAGAAGCACCTCATCAACTCGAGTCAATTTTTCTTTTACAGAGAAATCGTCTTTTAAAATAATTTACACAGTGAGGAGAATGCGATCAAATGGAGGTCGAATGCAAAGACTTATACACTACTGAGGTGTTAGCAATTCACCAATTTAAGTCTGAACTTTCAGTGCGAGAATATTAAATAAACGAATACTCTGAAGAATTTGGTGTTAACTGGATAGAGCCAACACACAAGAATTTCAACATTTAGATTTGCTGATTGTAGATAATCATCAGCAAAGAGATTCTACACGTTTGCGAACATATCCGATACTAAGTTATGTAATTTGGTTGGTGTTGTTGATTCTAAATACGCCTCTTATCTTCATTTCTTTTCATTTGATAAACTATTATAAATTACACTATGCAACTTAGCAACACTTAGTGAGTAATATTGTTTTAATCATTTGCACAGATTGGGGCATACTTCCCTGTCGTTATGCTGCTTTTCTAAGGATTTGTATAAATATTTATATAGTTAAATTATTTATGAGTGTAATTACTACTTCTTAACATTTTTATCAGTTGCTTCTCTATTTTGCGCATTCACTGAATCTATATTTACCTATAAAAGTTTCTATGAATTTTGTTTTAAAAATAATTTCGATTATTGAAAGTCAGTGTATACTATAGACACAGCTACTAGTTATCATATATACCATCGTGAACTATACGTGAACTTTAAACAATTATTTAAAGAATGGATTTTTACCTCTGCAGAAACTTAAGCGTAAAATCTCGAATCGAGGTTCCCAAATATTTTGTATAACTTTTCGCAATAGAAGCAGCATACATCATTGAAATAATGGCACGAATCATTGACGCTTCGTATATAGATGTGTGAGGATGTTGATGTGTGTATCAGTGAGCGATGGTTTCGATGAAAATGACGGGATAGCGAAGGTGGTCCTTTAGGCACACCGCCTAGATGGACCATGGAACAGAATTTGATTTTTGGCGAAGTAACCACCTCCATTGCCCGACGAACAATTACTGTGAATTCTCAATGATCAACTCTTCTCACCATACAAGTGTGAACCAATCAACACACAATATGCACATCATTGGTCATTCACTATTGCACTGATCAAGCAAGCATGCGTCAATCCATAACTTGTTCACTCGGTCATTCATTGATACAGTTGTTGAAGTGCAAACCGACTTGCTCTACTTCTTACTTAGTTTACTTACTTACGCCTGTTACTCGTCATGAAGGAGTATAAGCCGCTCACCATGATTCTCCATCCAACCCTGTCCTGGGTAATCCTTTCCAGCTCCTTCCAGTTCCTATTCATCATTTTCATATTTGCTTCTATTATCCGACGTAATGTGTTCTTAGGCCTTCATCTTTTCCGCTTCCCTTCAGGATTCCGAGTTAGGGCTTGTCTCGTGATGCAGTTTGATGATTTGCGTAATGTGTATCCTATCCATTTCCATAATCTTTTCCTAATTTCTTCATCATCTGGAAGCTGGTTTGTTCTCTCCCAGAGAAGGCTGTTGCTGATGGTATCCGGCCAATGGATGTTGAGTATCTTGCGTAGACAGCTATTTATAAATACTTGTACCTTCTTGATGGTGGTTGTTGTAGTTCTCCAAGTTTCAGCTCCATACAGTAGAACTGCCTTGACGTTGGTATTGAAGATTCTCACTTTGATATTGGTTGAAAGTTGTTTTGGGTTCCATATGTTCTTCAATTGTAGGAATGCGACCCTTGCTTTGCCAATCCTTGCCTTTACGTCTGCATCTGAACCTCCTTGTTCATCGATGATGCTTCCCAGGTATGTGAAGGATTCTACATCTTCCAGAGTTTCGCCATCAAGAGTGATTGGATTGCTGTTCTCCACTTTGAATTTGAGGACCTTGGTTTTCCCTTTGTGTATGCTGAGGCCTACTGATGCAGAGACTGCTGCTACACTGGCTGCCTTTGTCTGCATCTGTTCGTGTGTATGCGATAGGAGGGCCAGGTCATCTGCGAAGTCCATTGTATTCCGTGTTTTCCTTCAGATGTCGAGGTCTTCATAATCCAGTCGACCACCAGAAGAAAAAGGAAGGGAGAGAGTAAGCAGCCTTGTCTGACTCCGGTCCTTACTTGGAATGCATCTGTCAGCTGTCCTCCATGCACGACTTTGCATTGTAGTCCGTCGTATGAGTTCCGGATAATATTGACAATCTTCTCAGGAACTCCGTAGTGTCGAAGAAGTTTCCATAACGTCCTCCTATCTACACTGTCAAATGCCTTTTCATAATCAATGAAGTTGATGTACAGTGTTGAGTTCCACTCAACTGATTGTTCGACGATGATCCGTAGTGTTGCAATTTGGTCTGTGCACGACCGATCCTTACGGAATCCAGCTTGTTGATCTCGAAGTTGGGTGTCTACTGCATCCTTCATCCGGTTCAGCAACACTCTGTTGAAGACTTTCCCTGGTATTGACAGTAGTGTAATGCCTCTGTAGTTTTCACATTTGCTCAGATCTCCTTTCTTTGGAATCTTGACGAGGTGTCCTTCTTTCCAGTCCATCGGCACTTGTTCCCCCCCCCAAATCTTTTTGAATAGAAGGTAAAGCATGCTTGTAGTTACTTCGATGTCTGATTTCAGTGCTTCAGCTGGTATGTTGTCGGGTCCTGCTGCTTTCCCGTTCTTGATTTGTCTGACGGCCATTCTAATTTCTTCCGTCGTTGGTGGGTTGACATCTATAGGAAGATCTGTGTGTGCTGCTTCGATGTCCGGTGGATTCATTGGAGCCGGCCTATTCAGGAGTTCCTCGAAGTATTCTACCCATCTGTTACGCTGTTGTTGAATTTCAGTGATTGGCTTGCCTTCTTTGTCTTTGACCGGCCTCTCTGGTTTACTGTATTTCCCTGATAGTTTCTTCGTTGTATCGTAAGGCTGTTTCATATTTCCTTCTCTAGCAGCTTTTTCCGCCGTCGTTGCTAGTTCTTCCACGTATTTCTTCTTGTCGGCTCTAATGCTTTTCTCCACTTGCTTGTTTGCTTCTATGTATTCAGCTTGTGCTTGGACTTTCTCTGCTCGTGTTCGGCTGTTGTTAATTGCTGCCTTCTTGTTCTTCCTTTCTTTGATCTTGTCCAGTGTTTCTATAGAGATCCATTCCTTATGATGGTGTTTCTTTAGGCCCAGAACCTCTTGACACGTTGAAGTTAATGCTTCTTTGATGCCTTTCCAGTTGTCCTCCATAGTAGTTTCTTCTTCCTTCAGTAGATCTTGTAAGGCTTGGAACCTGTTGTTGAGAGCTATCTTGAATTCGTTGATTTTGTTAGTATCTCGAAGGAAGGCTGTATTGAACCTTTGTATTGCTGTTTGTCCAGTTGTCCAGTTCTTTTTTAGCTTCAGTTTTAAATTGGCTACAACTAGGTGGTGATCTGAAGCTATGTCAGCTCCTCCCCTGGTTCTCACATCTTCCATTGTCCTTCGGAATTTTTTATTGATGCAAATATGATCTATTGGTTCTCTGTAGTGTGGTCCGGTGAGATCCATGTAGCCTTGTGTATACGCTTGTGTGGAAATATTGTGCCTCCTATGACCAATTTGTTGAATGCACATAGATTTGCAAATCTTTCTCCATTTTCGTTTTTCTGTCCCAGTCCATGTCGTCCAATAATATCTTCATATCCGGTGTTGTCTATTCCGACTTTGGCATTTAGATTTCCCATTAGAATGGTGAGGTCCTTTCTTGGGCACTTCTCTATGATTGATTGCAGCCGTTCGTAGAATTGATCTTTGATGTCGTCGTTGCTATCATTGGTGGGTGCATAACATTGGATAATATTCATTGTGATCCCCTCCTTCTTTGTTTTGAATGATGCTTTGATGATTCTGGATCCGTGAGATTCCCATCCTACAAGTGCATTTCGTGCTACTTTGGACAGCATTAGAGCAACTCCCTGACTGTGTGGAGCATTTTCCTCTTCGTGACCGGAGTGTAGCAGCATCTCTCCCGTAGCTAGCCTTTTCTGCCCAGCTTGGGTCCAGTGGGTTTCGCTGATTCCCAGTACTGCCAAATTGTATCTCCTCATTTCCGTTGCCATTTGACTGGTCTTTCCGGTCTCCCACAGTGTTCGGACGTTCCATGTACCTATAAAAATTGTTGCTCTGGTTGTCAGAAGGGGCGTCGGCCTCGTGGCTTCCGAAGGAACTCGGCTTTCACCATGAAGCGTCATAATTCTTCTAAATGAAGACCTTCTAACTCCCAGGGCAGAGTTAAAATGGTTTGAATTATTTTTTCTGGTAAACGTTTTTTGGCGATTGATTTTCAATGCTCACACCCACTCACTTCGTTCCACAGTGTACTTGCTCGCTATAGGCTTGTGGATTATATTTATCTTTAGCAATATAAATATCTCTAGAACTGGTGTACACGCTTCTGAATAATGTCGAGTAAATCAATAATCCTACTAAGAGATTTAGAATATATTAAATAATCAGTTAACGGGATATTATTTATTGCAGTCAGATATACAGGAAATTAGCCCTCAACAATAGTAAACAGTATTGTGTGGCACATCATAACGACACTGGCATTTCATTGGAACACCAGTGTTAACCATCAATAGATGAATGTGAATAAGAAGATATGACAACGAACTGAACATTTGATCATCCAATTTGTCTTACTCATCAGTAGTATGGTTTGACATGTGAAAGAAAGTGACCATGAAACTGACCGACCGAGAGACCGATTGACTGCCCGACTGCATAATTGACTGCCTCACACACTCACTCACTCACTCACACACTCATATACCAGTTCACATGTCAGCTGACATTCACTAATCCCGTTATAACAACAATCACACTTGTCAACATCACAACATCTCACCCATTAACACTCTCTTATCACCAGAATAAACGCAACACAATCTAGTGTGTCGTTTCTTCCACACAACTTGTCAACATGCATTCATTCATGCATGCACATAATGTGGAGTGTATTTTGTGTGTTCCTGTGAGAATATGGGAGAAAATGCATCCATGCATATTATTTTTACTGTTCGATGTGACTGGGTTTTTCGACTGCTGTCTCACTTCTGTTTTGTTGGACATCTGGATTTCGGGTGGCTACAATGTTGGTCGACCATATCTGTGATTAGACCGGTTTGATTTAATTGACTGAATGAGTGGATACTTGAACGGATAGATACTTGGTTTGCTAATTGTTAAGAAAGTTTACTGTTTTGAACAGTGAACAGCTCATTTTGGAGCTATTTAACCGGTGATATGTTTGCCTGTTCGGATTAGAACATTATTCCTGAGTTGTGAGGAACCTGTTTACCGATTTGCAAGTAAGTACTGTATATTCCTAATGTGTAATTGCTTACTGTTCCTAGTTGATCATACAAGTCTGTTGTTGTACCAGTGACTGTTACTGTTAGAGAAAGCGTTGTTCAGGTTTATTCCGGTGTGACACCGAAGGTCATGGTTTCGACTGGCGAGTGTCGAGTGGTGGATGCACACCTCTCACGAGTTCCATACTAGCACCAAACCACCGTCCACTCCTTCCACCTTCTCAATGCTCATCCAACTAACACCAGTTTGTCATTCAAACTATGAAAATTACTCTGATCAATTTTTATTTACATTCATCCATTCTGTAACATTTGTTCACATCACCTTGTACACTTTCCCACGATACTTACTATACCGAATTATTCATTGTCCATTATCCACCTTTCATAGAATCAATCAATCAAGGTGCGTCAGTGAAAACTTCTTCGGTCTATGTCTATTGGTATTAACGCGAATGATGAATCGAGCACATAATGGATTCGTGTCTCTGTATACGTTTATTCAGTGTTGCATTGATCTTGTCTTTAAGCATTCCTATATTTAATCTGCCAATGGATCATCTAGTGATGTATTAGTAATATAAATAGACGAGTAAATGAACAACTAGGTTGCTATGCTGAGATAGAACGATGTTTAGAGTCGTCATGTTATAGTCAAACTATGTTTTTTTATTTTTCCATTTTGTAGGAATAAGGTCCAAAGGATATGTTTTCGTTAAATAA